GAGGGAACTCAGTCCTTGAAGCCATATAGTGTGGTTGTATTTTGGCCTTTCTCAATGCTTGAAGTGTTTAAAGAAATGCTGATTTGAAGTCTTGATAGCATAAGACTCCTATTTAATAGTCAAAAACACCCCCAAAAACAGCTAATCCAAACAGAAATGTACACCCCCAAAAACATTTCTGTTTGGATTAGCTGAAATATTTTACTGTAGCAGTGTATATAAAAAACTTTTACTATAGATTTTTTTGAAATATTTGATATATTGTATAGATGAGATGTTTTTTGAGTTGTTTTTGTTTGTGTATTACTGTAGCATTGTATTTCAAAAATTTGTTTTTGAAAAATAGGCCAATCCAAACAGCTGTCTTTTGGTGTTATTTTATCTTGTGGCTGAAGCGCGATATTACAAGCATGCACTAAGTAGGCAGAAAAATGGACTTGATTCAGTTTACACATTGTAATATGCTTTGTCCCTTTCCTGTGCTGCTTGTAAAATCTGTTGATGTTGATCCTAAGTTTTCCATCGTGGTTAGGCAAATTGTTGTACATTAAGTTCAAAGACTAATTTGTGGTTCAGCTGGATGTTATCTTTTGCTCTAAAATGGTTGGGTTGTTGCTAGTTGATTTACATACTTCTCTGCTTAAACAAAATCTTTTTGTTGCACGTGCAGGATGCTGCAGACATGGTAATTAGAAGACGTAACTTGAAGCTTAGGGATCGTGATTTGAGGCTTTATCATGCCAAAGCAGAGACCACTCTTTCAAAGAGAAAAAGTCCCTTGCCAACAAATACTCCTCCAGCTAAAAAGTTTGGAGGAAAAACCAAATTTGCTAGCCTTGAAAATAAGACAACTTCAAAGGCAGCCTTTTCGTACCAGGGTCTACGGGCAAGCAAGTCCGGCATCCAGAAGAAAACCCATCGACCAGCAGCAAATCCTCAGAAAATGCCTATGCAAAAAGAACCCCAGCAAAAGAGACCTGCTGTGGCAGCTAGAAAGGCTAAAGCCCTGAAGGCTAAACAAACAGGAATTAAGCGCAAATTAGACAAGCAAACTCCTGATAGCATTCACCAGAAGAAGAAAGCCAGGAGATTTACATGAGATTTAAACTGGATCAAATCTCAATGAGCTGTAGAATTAACATAGCTAGTATACGGTCAATTAGTTGTCCCCAGACACTTTAGAAATCGTTGGCAGCTCTTGTTAAGTGATTTGTTCTGATATTTGTTCAGCAGGTCTGCTGGCTTTTATACCAAAAGGACTTGACGTCAAGAAGTATTTATTGACTCTAGTGTTGTTTGTCTCTGTAAAATTATCTCAAATGCTACTTCTATGAAAAAAAGAGCATTGGTCTTATTTCTCCTTCCACTTAATTGGATTTAGCATTTTGTAGCGCTCTGCTCATATGTGGGAATCTGTGTTGCTTAAGTCATGGTCTTAGCTCAGTCACCATGGATTATTTTCCCACCCCCAAGATGTGGCAATCGTGACTATAATTAACTGTACTGGTTTGTGTTCTGCAGTGCTTTTGAGCTTTGTACATCAGGCATTATTTATAATGACTGTCCCTGCAATTTAGTACACTGGATACATCAGGTATGTATAGTCTGTTAAACTTGTAGGCTTATGAATCAGGAGCTAACAAATTTTGCTGAGTCTATAATATCCACGTACAACAGCAGGAGATTTTAGCTCAGAAAGTTTCTAGAGTCACAGAATTTCCACGTGTAACAGCATGGAATTGTAACTTAAAAAGTACTATCAAAGAATGCCACAATTGTGGTTCTTCAAAACCACAAAAAAATCCACGCACTCGTCTGGTCCGGTGGTAGTTTTGTCCCCATCGGTCTTCCATAGGTTCAGTTGGATTTTCCCCATAGTTAGAATAGAGTAGGAGTAAGGTTCAGTTGGATTTTCCCCGTAGTTAGAATAGAGTAGGAGTAGAAGTAGGGTTAACGATTGACAAAAAAAAAAGAAAAAAAGAATGACAAACGTATAGCAAATGTTTTAAGTCTTGCTCATTATAGAAAAGTTTCAGACTCGTACACCTATGTAGTTCACTAGTAAACTGAATCTACATGATATTCTAGAAATTCATATTATTATCCTTTTTAATGCCTATATTATGTGCATTAATATTTGAAAAGAGTTACTCCCTCCGTGCTCATAACGATAGACTCATTTTTCTTTTGTGTCTATCTCTACTAATAGATTTATTTTATTTTCTAAAAGGCTAGTCAATGTATAAGTGATGTACAAATGAGTTTAGCTAACAAGTGTCTAGTGGTCACTCATTAAACAGGACTTCAAGCTCTAGATTGTTTACAAAAATTAATTTAAAAAGGTATCTAAATGCAGAAGTGTAATATATGTGAGCGTGCGTATCTGTTTAATAAGTTCAGTGTAAATTAGATGTACTCTACAATAGAAAAATTCTTGATAAATTTATTAATAAGTACATATTTAATGTAATTTTTTTTAACATACATGACATGTAGTATAATAAATTCCAAGAATTGTTTAAGAATATGAACCACTAAATCGAAAGGAATAATATAATTCGTCTTATATTAAAGCCTTAATGGAAGGGTACATAAAGAAAGTACTATAAGAAAAAAAAAATTGTTTCAACTAGATTATCTCTCCCTTCTGAACGTGGAGGGAGTATAAGCATGTAAAATTAATAAATTATTTACAGTAAATTATCCAAATTCCATTTTTTTTTTGTTAATTTATTTAATTATGCGAGTATTCGCTTGCTGTGGTGCAAGCCGACCTGACTGCTCCAAGGCACAACAACTTAATAAACTATAAATTAGGGATAATTTGAGAAACTTTCCTTGAGGTTTCTAACTATTTCACTCGGCTCCCCTCAATTTTAAGTAATTACACTTACCTCCCTTGATATGATAAAGTACCTATAATGCCCTCCATTTGGTAAACAATTCACAGTGTAAGCCAATAGATTTACAAAATAAAAAAAAATCTTATTTTTCTATCTTGTGTCTATTTTCATTCCTCTCTTTTCTAGATATTTTTTTGTTATGCCCTCTTTTCATTATGTTCGATTTTATGGATATTATCAAATTGAAGTTGTAAAATCAACAAAGGAAGTGAATTATGTATCACATTAGAAGGAAGTGAAAAAACTTGTAATGATAGAGAAATAACTAATGAAATTGGTGATTAAAATGGGAAGAAGGGCTAAAGATGTGGAATTTGTCGTATTTTATTTGTTATCAAGAAAATTTTTTGTAAAATGTCAAAAATTTGCATTAGAATTTTTTTTTTTGTCAGATTAATAATTATTGGTTATGATTTTGTTGTGGAGGTAGAATTTATTCTCTACTTCTTAGATGTTAATACTTTTAAGAACATGAGACTATTTTAACGGTGGTTCTAGGTTAGATTAGCTTGTATTAAAAAGATGTTGAGGCATTGAGATTCAATTTTTGAATACAAAATTAGTTGTCAATGGAGAGAGTGTGTATGAGTTCTTTTGTGTCGCAGGCATTGATGTTTTATATATAACTTGGGATCTTTTGGACGGTTACTTGCATTTGGATTCTTTCGAATTCATTGGATCCCTTTCCGTGTTCGAGAATCCCCTCCCTTCTTCCACTCCGTCCGGAAGAGTAGAGTAACTAGGACCAATTTAGTCACATTTTCATGTTCCAATTGAACACTTTCCATTTTTTATTATTTTCAAAGGAGAAGATTATTCTCTTTAACAAACATATACGGATCCAATCACGATCTTATAATAAGAACAAGAGATCTTTGCCCTCATTCTTCGAGAATCAGAAAGATCCTTTTCAAATTTGAATTTGTTTATTTGGAATCTAGGTTCTTCTAGTTTATGTTTATTTAACATTTTTATTTAAATTGAATATTTTTCCTCTCTCTTTTTTTTTTATATCATTCCTTAAGTCCCATAGGTTTGATCCTGTAGAATTTGACCCATTTCTCATTGAACAAGGGGTACAAAATAAATCAGATTGATTTTTCGATCAAAAGTACTATGTGAAATCTTCGGTTTTTCTTGTATAGTTGTTAAGGATTAGGATGATAGATTTGTGCAAAGTGTGGAAGAAAGTGATTAAGCATACTACATTTTTCTTTTTTAGTTTTGTACAAAAGTGCAATTTTGGTTTTTTCAGAGAAAATTTAATTTGTTGGACCTGCATTTAGGGATGGCAACGGGAGCGGACACCCTGCTGGGGGTCATTGGGGTAGGGGGGGGGGATTTTTTCCCCCCATTTAGAAATGGGGCGGGGTACTCCCCCGTCCCGCCACCCGTTTGAATATATATATATATATATATAATGATATTATCAATTATACTATTAATTATACATGTCTATTAATAAAAATTATTAATTATTTATACTAAATTTATTAATACATTTATGTTAAATTCCTAACTACACTTAATACAATAACACTTTTTTCTAAAACAATAATAATTTAATGATTGTATTTGTATTAAAAGTGAAAACTTGATTATTTTAGTTATATTTGTTTTATCATATTAGATTGTATTCAAATAACCTTTGTTTAATTATTTTTATGAGTTTCAATTGTGAAGTTATAATGAATAATAATTTGGTGATGTGTTGATATTCTAGTACTTGATTATTTGCTCAAATTTAATTATAATGAAATTATATAAAGCCTGACTAATGCGTCAGTGATGTTCTCAACAAACACAATAACAGAATGACATGAAAAGAGATTCTATGATTCAAACCACAGTACCACGGATATCTGAAAAAGAATTATCATCCAATTATATCCCCTAAGGATTAAGCACAATTAAGCGGGACGCGGGCGGGGGTTGGGGAAGGTGTCCCCGCCCCACCCCACCCCATTGCCATCCTTACCTGCATTGTTACATAAACAGTAAAAATAGGAGAGGTATATATAATTTTTAAAACCTAAAAAGAGCTCTCTATAATTGTCAAAAACCTTAGGGGAGGTTTGTGGAATACCGAATACAATTAAGTGGTAACCCCGCGGCAAAAGGATATTTTCTCATTCGTCTGCGGCCGCTTCAGAATCAGAGCTCAAGTTTTCTGGACTCTCTTGAGCTGGAATTCGAATTCAGCTCCAGAAAAACATGTCTTCAAGAAAAGGAGGCTATAGAAGAGGAGGAAAACAATCTCACTTTTATCAGCACCAAAACGACGAAAATTGGACTTTAAAACGCGTCCAAGATCACAATTTACCGCCCCAATTTGACCAACAATTCGCGCCTTCAAACTCTGAGCTGAATGTTGAACATAATCATCTTGAACAGCCCACAACGACAGCCAAGAACCAAAAATATCGTCAGAATCGAAGAAATGCGGGGTGGGGTCTGCGAAATCGGAGACCCCAGGTGGTCAAACCTCAGTTTGTTAAGAAATCTGAGGTGAGTTCTTTGGGTATAGATGAGAGGAATGATGAAAAAAGGGAGGATTTTAGGGATGGCCTTGGGGAAGAATTGGAGAAGATTGCTAGTAAAAGTGAAGTTGTTGAAGGGAAGGATGAGGTTGAGGAAAAAATTGAAGGGTCTGGTCTGAATGAGGAGGATATTGATGTGGTGCAGAAAAGGTTGGAAGAGTTACTGTTGAGCGCTCAAGAGGCTGAGTTGTCTGAAGAGCAGCTAAGGATTAATGATCAAGCTCAGGAGGATGAGGTAAATTATTATACTCGACTTTGGAATGTGTTTGATTAATTGGAAAGTCAATAGCTTGTTAACAACTTAGTTGTGTTTATATGGATTTCTAATGCTGCTGCATATGATAACTTGATCTTCTGTACCCTTTTGTTTAAGAAATTTGGACTTTAACATGATTTTTGATAATGGGTTATGACTATATCAGATGCTATGCTTGCTATTACTTCTTGTTGTGAATAGGATGGTTTGAGTTGGATATTACCCTGATCATGACGATCTCAATTCACGGAGACATTGTGTTTTTTGTATTTCTTGTATGCTGGAATTTACAAGTACTGTATCTGAACTAATTTGACGATTCAATCCTGTTTATGCAAAGGAGAAGAGCGAGCTGATGATTGTAATTGAATTTCATTTGCCGAGTGAAGGGGCTAGGATAGGTCTGAAAAATTGTTTAGCTCAACTGGATAAAGATTTGTTTAACCTATTGAGAAGAAGAGTTGAGAATCTGTTTTAACTTAATTGAGTGGAATTCTTTGAGTGTATCTGAACTAATTTGATGATTCAATTCTGTTTACGCAAAGGAGAAGAGCGAGCTGATGATTGTAATTGAATTTCATTGCCAATTGAAGGGACTAGGATAGGTCTGAAAAATAAGATTAGGTGAGCTCTGAAAAATTGTTTAGCTCAACTGGATAAAGATTTGTTTAACCTGTTGAGAATCTGTTTTAACTTAATTGGGTGGAATTCTTTGAGTGTTAGTTCATGTAAAAAGAAAATACCCCGAATGACACTTTGATGGTTGGTGATACTAAGTCTCTTCTTTATGGTGTCAAGTTGCAGTTCTGGTCTGATTATATATATGCAGCATTCTGTAGCTGCTATAGGTTGGGTTCATTATTTTTAGGATGTCTGATGGCTTCAAAATAGTCACTAAGAGAACAAGGATTCTTAACCAAAATTTCTTTATGTTTATCCCAATCATGCACTTTAGGCTTAGTCTAAGCATTGGCTAGGCAAGATAAAAGAGCTGTGATAAACTTTTCCGTGGTGGTCATTGTGGATCTAGCCTAGTCAGGATCCTTCATAAATGGCACAGTAATACTTGTCTAATTAGACTTGGACCAGAAGAGATACTTTTGTCAGCATAATTTGCCGAAATATGAACATATATATCAACAGAAGGCAGATGTATGGTTCACAGAACGTGCTTTTGCAGTTGTTAGTAAATCAAAGTAATCCGTTGTTCCTTTTCTTGTAATAAATCCATTGGAGTCATCTCTCTCTCTCTCTCGCTCTCTCTCTCACACGCACACATGGACTCACACACACAAAAAAATACATGCATGTCATTCTCTAATTCTTTTTTGTTTCACCCGTTTCAGTTACTAGCTATGGAGTCAATTTATGGTGACAACATCTTCTTTCTTGACAAACAGAATGGCCTGAGATCTTTTCAGGTTATGTCTTCAAAGTTTATTGCCTGTTGATTCATGCTTGGAGGATATTATCTGACACTAGAATTGTTTACTGGAGGATATTATCTAACATTAATATTGTTTACCAGATTCATATTCATATCGAAACACCTAGTGAAATTTCTGTAGCTGTGAAGCTGAACTCATCTGCAGTAAGCAAGGCCAGTGATGATTCATCAGAGTTCTCTTACTCTTTCAAAGTCGAGTATCTGCCACCAATCATATTGACATGCATATTACCTAAATCATACCCAAGTCATCTTCCTCCTCATTTTACCATCTCTGCCCAGTGGTTATCTTCCACTAAGATTTCTGATCTTTGCAATGTACTTGACTCCATTTGGAATGAGCAATCAGGACAAGAGGTTATATATCAGTGGGTCGAATCACTACACAGTTCTTGTCTTTCTTTTCTTGGTTTTGATCAAGAAATTATTCTTGGTCCTTACGCTGTGAAGCAGGAACAAGATAGGCGTGCAATTTCAGGAAGTGTCTCCCCAGAGGTTGATATTCCATACATGAAAAGCTATAGCGATGAGCAGCGGCATGAGAACTTTAGCAAAAATATCCACGAATGCTGCATTTGTTTCAGCGAATTTGCAGGTAGTTTCCCATGATGTAGTTCTAATCATCAAATTTGATTACATTTTCTCCTTTCTTCTGGCATCGCGGTATCAATATGTGTTCTTAGCATGAATTTATTTTGTGAAATGTTACAGGTACTGCCACCAAACTTGGTCTGAAGTGCACAAATAGTTGAATCTTGCAGTTTTCAAATTATAGAAATGCTTGATAAGACCGTTGGAGAGATGTTGTTCCATTTACTTGAAGTTGCATGTACACATCGGATTGTGAATGTTTCTATGTTTAGTGGTACTAGTGAATTTTATTGATCTAAGCACAGTTTCATGCACACTCCCTCACATACATAATTATGTCTTCAGTGCAGATGACCATTTATTGAATTTTTTAACTTCCATTTAATTAATATTTAACTTGGTCTTATTCTTTCTTCTAGTGACAATTTTGCTTTGCTTGTAATTCTTTGTTTGACGCTATCAAGTGCTTTCTGAAGTTTGTTCAAAATGTATTTGTCTTTCAAAACCTGCGAAGATTTTGTAGTCTGGAATGTCATCATTTGAAGAACATAATAGTGTAAAGTTTTTTATTCCACTATACTGCCAAATGGCGCTTTAGTGACTTTTCCCCTCTCTCAGGCACAGAATTTGTTAGACTTCCATGCCAGCACTTCTTCTGCTGGAAGTGCATGAAAACCTATTCTGATATCCATGTAAAAGAAGGGACAGTTAGCAAGCTTCAGTGCGCTGATGCAAAATGTGGGGGCATGATTCCACCTGGTTTACTGAGACGATTGCTTGGTGACGAGGAGTTTGAACGTTGGGAGTCAATGACGTTACAGAAGACATTGGAGTCAATGACTGATGTGACTTACTGCCCAAGATGTGAAACAATTTGCATAGAGGACGAAGACCAGCATGCACAGTGCTCAAAATGTTACTTTAGCTTTTGTACCCTGTGCAGGGAAAAACGACATGTTGGAGTTGCATGCATGACTCCCGAGATGAAGCTTCTTGTTTTGCAGGTATTGACTTTGCGCTTGGTGTAAGTCTCTTCTTTTCGAGCTTGGTTATTAGAGACATGAGTTAAAATGTCTTGAAACCTATTAGAATTGAGATACCGTTTGCCATTTGACCAGACCTGTGATAGCATAAGCATGTTTTGAGATATAACTTTATGTCTAAACAATAAGAAGGCTACCATTAGGTAGATTGTGTCCCCAGTTTCCAAGTTTATTTCTTTTTTCTCTAGTGCATTAAGATTTTCCTTGGTTCTTCTCTCAGATGAGGTGTTAACTATGAGCAGAATTTGCTTTGCTAGTGGTTTGCCTTTTCTTTTGAATAGTTCTGTTTGGTTCCTTTCTCGGCCTTCCTCGTATCAATTACCAGCTATGTATAGGTTTTTGTAGATTTGAAATGCTAAACTTTTGTTCTTTGAAACAGGAGCGGCAGAATTCATCTCAACTCAAGGATGATCAAAGACATCGTGAGAAAGAAATTATTAATGATCTCCTTAGTGTCAGAGAGATAAATATTTCTGCAAAGCAATGCCCTTCTTGTAAGATGGCCATCTCTCGGACTGAAGGTTGCAACAAGATGGTATGTGGTAATTGTGGACATTATTTCTGCTACCGCTGCAATAAGGAAATTGATGGATATGATCATTTCAGGTTTGAAATTCACTCTCTATTAGCTTCGTACATGCCTCTATATGCCAGTTTGTTTTCTAATCTGTTTGGCAACTCTTGAGCTTCTTCTTATTAAAGGGATGGAAGTTGCGAACTTTTTCCACCTGAAACTATTCAGCATTGGGAAGAGAGAATGAATGCTCGTCAAGTTGTGGGTCAGATCCAAGCCGAAATGTTTCCAGAGCGTGGTCACTCATGCCCTAATTGTGGTCAAATAAATCTAAAGGTTAGAGAAATGTCTTCATATTTTGAGGCTTAATATTTCTGCAACCTTGCTATAGCTATTATTCATGATAGTATAGAGCTCGAGCATCAAATTTGTTAAATTGATTCCTTAAGCTAGAAGCATAGCAATATCATTAGCATAGAGAATTGTGGCAGGAATGCCAAAGAGGAATGAGTTGATATCTCCTGTGTCTTCTTCAATAACTCCACTCATTTAAATGGGTGTTTCCTATTTCTACTAAGTTACACCATGGAAATGACAGATTGTATCTTTTGTACCATCCTCAATTAAACAATATGAGCAAATAGAAAATGCAGGACTGTAGAAAAGACGAAGGGAATTCTTAAGCTGAACTCTTATGTGTTGCAGAGAAGTTTATGAAGCAATTTCTAACTCTCTGCTGCATATTGAAACTATATTAATCATCAAGAAAAAACGATTTTGGTATCTAAAAACCATTTCAAAGGTATGGACCTGAGTATGTTACTGGTACTTGGCCATTCATAAATTATCTGTTTGTTCCGTAATTGCAGGTAAAATGAATGCTCATCATGTAAATGAAGAATCTAGTTAACAATGATCTTTCTTAATGGACAGCAAAATTATCAAACAAGTATATCAAAGTAGTATCTTGGCAGTGACCATTTAGCATGAATTCATATGAACTTAAAATAATCTTGCCTTTTGAACTGCCATACCTTGTCAACAATCTGCTGCAAGACTTGAAGTTTATTTTGAAAGCAATCTTGGTTTCCCTTTAAAATCAAATATGGTCAGAAGTAGAAGATTTTCCAATCAATTGCTGTAAAATTTTCTTTCTCCAATCTTCGTCTTTGTCGTTTGCAGTTATAAAAAACTTTGCTTGTTATTACTTTTAGTTGTAAACTGACCTTTCTGTTTTCTTTTCCAACTTGTGGAGTTGATATCTGATTGGTCCTCTTTTTCCCTCTCCGATCCTCTGGCAGGCCGGGAACAACAATCACATCTTCTGCTGGGCATGCCAGAATCATTACTGCTATTTGTGTAGAAAAATGGTGAGACGTAGCGCCCAACATTATGGACCAAAGGGTTGCAAACAGCACACCGTGGGATGACTACGATTAAGTCACCACGTTCTAAGTACCTTGGAAAGCATATGCTATATACAACAAATGCATACCAAACCTGTGCTTTTTAGATTCCAACAGAGTTAATGGAATTCCCATGAAACAGTACTTTCTTGCATCAAATCAGGACGTACCAGAATTTTGTATTGCTTTTCTTCAAATTTCACTCGTTAGAGCTTCTTACTCTTCACTTCCTATTTCCGGGAGTTGTAGATTCCTACATGCTGAGTGCTGTTGTATATCCTCAGTTTTGACTTGTATATCTTTTTTTGTTTGTCACTCTTATATAGACAAATGCCAATAGTAAAATTTCTCTACATTTTGGTCCCCCTCGAAGTCACGATTATTCTGAAGTTTTTTCTCCTAAATTTCTATGATTTTGAAGTTTGTCGATGCAGTGCAAATGGGATTTTCTCATTTCTTGAAGCTGAAAAAGAATCACGCTGACTAATACTCAAATACCATGCTTTTCAAATTGCCTACAGATGATCAAAATGGATGAGCAATGCACTTGTTTTAGTTTTAACTATTTGGGATCAGGGCTTGCTGTTGTTTCTTCACCATTGTGCTCCAAGAAATACACACCTTTACGAGGAATGAACAACAGTTTATCATGCAAAGCAAGTAGAAACCAAAAGAATGGTTACATATATACATACATACATACATACATATATATATATATATATCTATCTAACTATTTTTTTTTTTTTTTTTTGTCGCTGGGTATCGGTCGCTCCGGACTGGTAATACCGTCTGTGCCACTATTCCCATCGCCCGGGGAGAACGGGCCCCACCGATCCCCGAGAGTATCACCCCGGACACTCAGCCTTGGGGTCGAACCCCAGACCTATCTCACCTAATGAGGCTACACAAGCCAGCTGAGCTGCCCGTGGGGGGCATATATATCTATCTAACTATAATATAAGAATCAGTTGGTTCTACTGTAACTCCTTTAGGCACTGCCGTGTGGTACAATAAAAGGTGAAGTTTGAATTTCTTTTGCTATCTTGACCTTTGTTTTGCCATTATAAGAATCCAAACGGGCTGCAAATTTTGGGCCATGGAATAATGATATGATATGAAGTATGGCAAGAGAAGGGCAGTCCAGCCACTTGCTATGAAGAACAAAAAAAAGAAAAACGATCTAGACAATCCGTTTTATAGTATTAAAATCAAAGAAAAATGCAGGCTTATTTAGTTAGAAAGTAAATATAACTATATCATGTGTTTGAATTTGTATTTTAGGTTTTTTCTATTTGTTTGGGATTTAGAGGAAAAAAATCTACCAAAACTTATACTATGGCTCTGATAAAAAAAAAAGTATAAGAGAAACAAAACTCTTTTATTTTTATTTTGTTTTGTCAAATGAATTCTTTTTTATTGTCAATTTTGAGCTGTTGGATTTGAATTTATCAATTGTTCTTCTTTTAGTCACCATTGGATTGTTAACTTTGTGATGCACTTTGCTAGAGTTTAAAACCTTTGACCATTATTTTTTAGATATTGTCCCTGATTTTTAAATAGATAGGCGGCAAGCTTATTTGAGATGAAAATCAAAGAGATTTCTATCATATAATGTCCACAGGGTGAATCAAGAAAATCTCCAGACAATGAGCTTCCAACCCTCTAATTATTTGTTTTCTTCACAATATAATTCAATAGTGCAACTTCATGCAAAAAATAAATAAATAAAAGGACTATACTATTCCAAGCTAACAGAAATAAAAACTAATTTTTCATATATAATTGAATGGTTTCTATACTATAAAAAATAAAGAGTTTGAAATAAATACTTCTTTAGAGAATAACAAAACTAGTATATTTTTTAAACAACCATGCACATTTTTCTTTATACTACTATAAGGTGACAAAAAAAAAACAATTCGTGAAAAAAATATGCACATTTTTCTTTTTGTTATTAAACACCAACTAGGTTGTCACCTCTAAATTATGAAAACACTTATATGTTTTGTTATTTTTTCCAAAAAAATATGATTGCAACTACCACAAATATATTACTTGATCAATTGGTACATTGAATACTTTTCAGTGGACACTGGCTGTGCGTAGCATAGCGTAGCTTAAATAGTATATATACATACATATGTATGTATATGTGTATGTGTGTGTATATATATATATATATATATATATATATATATATATATGTATACCAAAACTAATCATCTTTACATTTTAATTTTAACAGATTCTCTAACAATAGTATATATACATACATATGTATAAATATGTGTGTGTGTATATATATATGTATTCCAAAAAACTAATCATCTTTACATTTTAATTTTAACAGATTCTCTAACAAATTAACTTTCATAGTTCAAACTTTTAAACTAATTTCTACAAAAAAAAAAAAGAATTGTACAAATAAACATATCTATATCATTTGTCCACACATTGCCTTAATCATTAATCAGAACACATATAAATTCGGGAAGTCCAGGCCCAAATGTGAGGACCGCCGAAAGGTCCAATAACCAAGACCCAGGGTCACAAGTCAGAGAGAACTCTAGAGGGCGGCAGAGTGGGGAGAAACTTGAAAAATAGTTGTGTTGCTGCCTTTGACGTTCAGCAAAAGTACCTGCAAACGCCACCAAGCCATAACAATATAGCTCAAAGGAAAAAAAAGTGGCATCCACGCCCACGCTGCTAATCTCATCTCACAGGTATCTTCAATTCTAGGACTTCTGAGTTTTCCGTCTTCCTAAAGGCAGGAAGATAAGACGACCCTTTACTCCGTTCTTCAAGATTGTTTCTCAAATTTGTGGTATTGAATTGAAATTTTTTGTCCTTTTTATTTATTTTCATCTGGGCTGGTCAGAATAGCAAGAATATGAAATTTAAGTATCTGGGATGTCTTTATTTTCAGTTAAGAGTTCAAGTTCTTGGGTTGAAGTAGTTAGAGGCATGGTCTCAACTTAGAATGCTATGGAGAAAGGGACTTTCTTGCTTTTTAGCGTCAGAAGAATTATGCTGGTAAGTTTGGCTGTGTTTGAAAGAAGAAAAGGTCGAACTTTTGCTTCATGGGTCTGTGCTTATTTTCAAAAAAATCTTACCTTGACTTGATTTTCTCTGGTTTATTCGAATTGAGGTCATTTAAGAGGCCTGTTATTGTTAAAGCTAGCAGCTTTACTAAACTGTATAGAGGTGCTTCTGCTCTTCTGCTTCTAGATGATTATGATTCTGGCTCAAATAGTGATAGCTCTTTAGTAGTGAATGAAGTAGCTGTTCCAGAAAATAGGCTGCATACATGTGACGGGCTCCAGTTGCTTTCCGTTGTGGTTAGAGTTATAAAGTCGTTGAACTGGCGAGCTGCAAGAGAGATGAGGTTCAGAGAATCCGTAGAGAAGTATGGTTTTCCATTTTCTATTGACGCCTTTAGGATGACAGTGCATGTATTTGGGTTTGCTCGAATGCCAATGGAAATGCATGGTTTGCTTAGGGATGTTTTATATTATTATCAAGATGTCGGTTATGATATGTTTGAGTTGCTTCCAAGTATGTTAGAATTGCTCAATGATGCGGAAACCTCGGCTGTTCTTGTTGATGTCCTTATAAAGCTTTTTGCTGCCAATTCTATGCTTGAAAATGCAGTTGACGTGTTTTTCCAGGCTCAGAACATTGGCGTTCAGCCTGGTATACGGTCATCTAATTTCTTGCTTAAGTGCTTGGTAGAAGGGAGTAGAAGGCAAGAACTTTCAACTTTATTTGAGGAAATGAAGAACTCTGGGCCATCTCCTTCTGTCTATACGTATACAATTCTGATGAATTTCTACTGTAATGAGCAATACGCACAAGACAAGGTGGATATGCAACAAGCCACTTCAATTCTTGAAGAAATGGATAATAATGGTATTGAGCCATCTGTTGTAACATACAGTACATATATTCATGGACTTTGTAGAGTTGGATATGCTGTTTTAGCCTTGAAGCTTATCCAGGACTTGAAGCATAATAACCAGCCCCTCAATGTTTACTGCTACAATGCTGTAATGCATGCAATTTGTAGAAATGGTAAACCAGATGAAGCTATGGGACTTTTGGGAGAAATGAGGAGTTATGGAATCACACCCGACGTTTATAGCTACAGCATTCTAATTGATGGGTTCTGTGAATGTGGAGAGATTGAGAAAGGTCTTACTTTATTTGAGGAGATGGAGAGCCCTGAAGTAAATATAAAACCATCTCTTGTTACCTATAGCTCACTCTTAAAAGGACTATCTGGGATTGGACTGATGGAAGCCTCAGTTGACATGTTCCATAGGCTTGGAAGTTATGGATACAAATATGACCAGCATGCATACAGCATCCTAATAAGTGGATATCTTATGCAGGGCAATTTGGATTCTGCCCATGAACTCCTGGAGGAGATGATCAGAACTAATTTGACTCCTTGTGCTATAGATTATAAAAACTTGATCAATGGTTTCTGCAGGATTGGTTCAATTGATAAGGCCTTGCAGTTGTTCAATACTGTGAAAGACTCAGGAGTACGGCCTAATACTTTAACTGTCAATGACATTGTAAGTGGGTACTGCATGGAAGGAGATATCAGGGAAGCTTTGGAATTTCTTGAAGAAATGACGGACCAAGGCATCAACCCCAACATTTATAGTTACAGTATAATAATAAATAGGCTGTGCAAGGAAGGAAAATCTGAATATGCGTTGGAGCTTATCCCTATGATGCTTAAAAGGAATATATTACCAAATGTTGTAGTTTATAGCACTCTCGTAGATGGTTTTGCTAAACAGGAAAAGTTGGAGAAGGCCTTAATGTTGTATACAAGAATGATAAAGTTTGGTGTTACTCCCAACACAATCACTTTTACTATCCTCATAAATGTATTATTCACCATGGGTAAAGTGAAAGAGGCGTATAATTTGTTTGAAAAGATGATTTTGAATGGCCTGGATCCTGATAGGATATGTTACACATCAATTATAGCTGGATTGTGTAAGATTGGATATGTGAAGATCGGTTTGAAGTTGTTTGAAGAAATGCTGCAGAAAGGCCATATGCCTTCAGTTGTTACTTATACTTGTTTAATTGATGGTTTTTGCAAACAAAATCGAATGGATATTGCAACCATGTTGGTGGATAAAATGAGAAGACGCAACATGTCTCCTGATGTGGTGACTTATGATGTTATTATTCATGGATACATTAGGAAGGGACAAGTGCACAAACTTCATTATTTATTTGACGAAATGAGAAAGGAAGGCATTGTTCCTGATGATATTATGTGTAAAACACTAGGGCTAATCGGCTGTAGATAAAGGATGTTAAGCTGCAGAACATGCTTTTACTAAGAGGGTTCTGGTGACCTTCTTAATCTGTGGCAGCTGTTTTGTTCAATACCTCTGCAAAGGTTGGAAATGCTGCAGAAAGGCCATATGCCTTCAGTTGTTACTTATACTTGTTTAATTGATGGTTTTTGCAAACAAAATCGAATGGATATTGCAACCATGTTGGTGGATAAAATGAGAAGACGCAACATGTCTCCTGATGTGGTGACTTATGATGTTATTATTCATGGATACATTAGGAAGGGACAAGTGCACAAACTTCATTATTTATTTGACGAAATGAGAAAGGAAGGCATTGTTCCTGATGATATTATGTGTAAAACACTAGGGCTAATCGGCTGTAGATAAAGGATGTTAAGCTGCAGAACATGCTTTTACTAAGAGGGTTCTGGTGACCTTCTTAATCTGTGGCAGCTGTTTTGTTCAATACCTCTGCAAAGGTTGGAGATGTGACCACTTTATCCTTCTTGCAGCTGGCTTGGTGGAGCCCAAACTGGGTAATGGTCTTTCTTGTGAATCTTTTTGTGTCTGGATATGTCGATTACTGCATGTCAGCAATGTAAAACTAGAGATTCTTGTTAACATGGAAGGGTACAAGTATGCTGCCTTTAGGATAATTATTAGGAATAGATACCCATGTACTTTTCGATAGGACTAATTGATGTAATGCAGTAGTTCTTATTGAAGGTTGAAACTCTATGCTTTCCAGGCAAGTGAGTAGCACTCTTTGTTTCCAGGAGTAGAATTTAAAGAAAACTAGTACCTTGTGTATCACAATTACCATTTCTTCAAAAAAGGGTTAGTTCCTTATTTTCGTAAGCTTTATGGTTTTAATGGATGAGATCCTGTTTCATGTCTTTACAAATACTACCACGTTTCCACCCTGGAATAGGTTTCACTCCTGTTGCCCGGAGAATTCATTCCCTTGAAACACACACACAAAGTTTCTGTCCTTTAGAATGTTGGTCGAACACAGAAGCTTATAGAATGTCAATCTCATTGCACCTACTATGTCAACTTTAGGGAAGTATTCCATTTTGCGGTTGTTATCAGTTCTGAAGCTTTAATTGGACCCAATCACTTAAAAACTCAACCTGGGAAGCAGTCTCAGCTTTCTGAAGGTCTTCCTAGCATATACTGCTAGCATGACTTTAGATGTGCGACATTCTTTTTCGTACACGATCATCCTCAACAGCACTAGACAGCAGCACATAATGGTCTTCTTCACATTCTGCTAAGAAATGCTAGTATTGTGGGACCTTTAGCTATATATTGTAATTGGCTATTTAAAAAACCTGCTTCATTGTCTATGCATCTGCACCATTGAAGTAAAGTTTAACTGTTTTGAAGTCTGCAATTGTATTGTTTCTCTGGTGTTGTCCCATATTAAGTGACCTTTTCTACATTGTTGCTGCTGTATGGAATTTCTTTCATCTGCTAGTTTTATCCTCATATATTTCCTTCAACTGAAACTGAGCATACAGATGGTGTGCTATCAAATTATCGTTATTATCCTATTTTGGTAGCGTGTTTTCAGCACTTCTCTCTCTCTCATAGTAGGTCTGGATTTCTTTAAAGTGTTACAGTGCAAATGAATGATGTAACTAACTCTAGCTTTCCTCGGTCAGATTGAAGGAAGGCCTTAGCATGAATGGGGAATCTCTTAACTGTGGCTGTTCCCATCAGGTTCTTTTTGGCAAGCACTCTGGTACAGTACTAAGCTTTAACACATCTCTCTCTCCCTCTATCTCATAGTAGTTATGGATTTCCTTCGAGTGTTAAAGTGCAATGCTGAAATTGTAATTAAGTCTAGCTTTGCTCTGCCAGATTGAAGAAAGGACTTAGCCTGAAAAGAGAAATAATCTCTAATATGTGGCCTGTGCCCATCAGGTTCTGTTTACTAAGCACTCTGCTATGGATACTTTGTCCCCCTCTTCATCTCAAACACAAGCAGATGTATTCTTGGTTCAAATTATGCATCATTTTCCTTTCCATTTCATTAGACTGAGTGAATAAAGGATTGGATTTCACCATCATGTGAGCTGGCAGACTTCAAATGCAGAAATGTAGTGTGAGAAAGTTTTGTCTGTTGTTGTCCAACGAGTTGTATGATTAAAAGAGCCAAGTGTGATACCAAGGCCACCTTTGGTAGGTTATATTTCTTCTATTTCACAACCATTTTCTATAAATGTTTATGTCTCATCTCATTTGCATATGTTTATCAACATGAATGCGTTCACAGGTAGCTGCATTCAATTCCATTTATCTCTTTAGAGGAATTCTGGATTGATGCAATCTCTAAATATCAATTAGAAGGGTTAATGCTGTGGAAACTCAAGTTAAAGAGTGGTGCCTTGAGAATTCTACTTACATCAGATGGTAAACTTCAGACAATCTTCAACTTGCTATAGATCAGGAATTCCTATATTTTGTTCGTGCTTATGGTCAGAACAGTATCAGATAAATGTGAAACCAACTGGTAAATCCCTCCCCCCCCCAAAAAAAACCAAAAAAAGGTACAAAAACAAAAAAGGGAATCATGGTGTGGTTTTATAACTTGTGTGAAATAAAGGACAAACTAGTATTTCAAATTGAAGGACTGTGCAGTATGTCAATAAATATTCTGGAATATGTATTACGGAGCCTGAAATCTTGGTAGATATTGTTTCCATATTCACAATCTCCTCTTTCACATGTAGGACAAACAAGAGCTAAAAATTGAAACATAGAGTCCACACACGTATGAAGATTTACAAATGGATCAACATACAGTCCACAAACATTGGAAGGTGGACAAATAACATGTCTAGTAATCTTCAAGGTTGTCAACAGCATCTGGCCTCACAGAAGCGTGCTTAATCACACCAATCAGATACTGTCCCAAGCCATTGGAGCTGCCATTGTACTGTGTACCACTAGTTAGTCCAACAGTAACATATGGAAATTGTACATATTTGCTTTACTAGTTAACTGGTATTAAGCATAATGTGGTGGAGATTTTGTTTTCGGTAAATTTGTTCAATCTTTGATGCATTCAAATGTCCACTTATTTCAGTTAAATGTAAGTCTGAGTTTAAACATGTAAATTGACAAAGTGGAAAGTGAAGTAGAACTGAAAATTGACACAAAAAACCTTAAAGCTCCAAGGTAGTAAAACCTAGATGTGCTGATGCTTTATATACTCGTGTTGTCTTTCTCAGTGAGGATTCCACTGGCACTGTTAACATTGTTTAGTTTTGTTGTTGTGATTAGCAGTAGTTCTATGCTTGTTTTCCTCTTGGAGATCAAAGCAGATATGTTGACTAAGACCAGTGTAGAAGCCAAAACTTAGCTTGTAGCCTGTTTCTACATGTATGCTTAAGCCAAACATGAAAAGTAATTGGATTAAAGCCTGGAGGTTGATTATTTCATTATTCGGTTGATTATTTCATTATTCTTTGCACTGTTGCTCGTGAATATAAAGCAAGAATATTTTGACTAAAGTATAACACACAGACGAGGAATAGAAGTCTACCTGCTTTGGCAAGGTTCGAATTTTCATCACAACCAAGTGCCCAGAAAAATTACCCACCAAGACCCTGAGCCTTGGCAAACCTGATTTTATTTTTGATTGATCTGGTATCATCATATCCGATCCAGTTGGTTCCAGTATACGAATAGGTTGATACTGTTGTGTGATCATATACCACGGTAGTAGCTTTGTTTGCTAAATTGAAGTCCACTATATCTTTATATGCCATAATACCTCCATTTCCAGGACCAACTCTCACAGCGGGAGCTCCAATGCCATGATCGTTTGGGCCCTTTAATTGCCATGTCCTGCCATATGCTGGCATGCCCATGACTTGCTTTGGCAAGGGAACACCATTCTTCCATGAAGAAACTCCATAGCTAGTGCTGACATTACTAGACCTTGTCATAGACCAGCGCATGAGCCCCAGTTACTGCAGTGTTCCAAGCACCATGGCAGTCAGAGCACATGGGATTCAGAGAATCAACATATTTCCTAATGGCAGAACCAGGATAGGCATATGGCAATTCAGCTAACAAGAATCTAGAAGCAAAGTAAACAGCTGCAGATGTCAGGAGTCGAGGTTTGCCTGAGGCAGGTGACTCCTTTTCTAATGCAGTACGTCACTCCTTGAAGAGTATTGCAAGGTTTGTCATGTCTTGTCTGTTGTTTGGAAATTCCCAATCAAGATCAAGACCGTCAAGCCCATACTTTCTAGCTGCATCTACGGTAGACTGAGTGACTGCACCGCGAATTCCTGGATTGCTTACCATGTTGTAGAAAGTGCAAGGACTTGCTGCTCCTCCCCCTAATGGACTGGAAGGGTCTTTTGCTGTTGCATTTCTTCTATGGAATGTGGCGTCAGGTACGGCAAAGGCGTAGAAGAGGAGAGTGAAATACGAAGTTGGTATGCTTGATGGAGGGAGCATCTCTACTATCTTGAACCTCAAAAATATACATCTTACCCCCTCAAATGAACAGCCCCTGTGCATAATTTTCTTCCTAAATGACCCCGATTTTCCTAGTTTCTCAACGATCAACGTTTAGAATGTTGCATTTTCCTCTTATGTGTTCATCATAATATGTATATTATGATGTTGGATTACAGTATAAATTAAAATTTTTTTTTTTTAAAAAAAACTCCCTCTACTTTGGCCTTATCTCCATCCTATTCCACTGTCATGTCAGTGCTCTTGTGTTGGTCACTACTCTTTTTTCGTTTGACCTATTTAAAAAAAAAATATATATATATATATATATATATATATATAATTCTAATAAAAATTGCAATTATCAGTCTTTTGAATTAGCTAAAAATTCAACATTAAATCATGAAAATTACTTTAATATTTTGAATTCATTTTTTCACATTTGATACTATGCAAAATATAAATCAATACACATTAATTTTTTTTAACAAACAACGTAACATGTAACAAATAAAAAGTCAAGTAAATTAACATAACAAAATCATATTTTACTATGAATATAATAAATTGCAAAGTAAAGGTACATTATTTTATCACAATAAACTATCATATTATTTATTTTAAATTATGATATATACATACATATTAGTCTTATACTGCACTATATATAAGGCGGGGGGACAAGGAGGCGGATGTAGTCCCATTCAAACCGATGCTAAATTATACATAAGTCTATGTAATAAGTTAATTAAACCACTGCCTAACATCACATCATGTAGTAACAAAATATTTCGATGAATATATAATAAGAAAACGCAACAAGTTAAAAGTTGATTATTAAAAAAGTAGGAATGTTGAGGCTAATTTGGGAAGAAAAGTATGCACATGAGTTTGTCAAAATTAAAAGTACAAACATGATTCACTTATATAGGAACAAAATGTATATTTTTGAAGCTTAGGGTGGTAAAGTGTTACAACCCCAAAAGTTCATGAGGGCAAATTGTTATTAACCCTTCAAGATATTATAACTTTCCTGAAATAGAATTTGAGCCCCACTGCTTCCATATAATGGAGTTTGCCAAGAATATGAGCCTCATTGTTTTGGTTCTTTTTGGACAACCTGCCTTTTCCCAAAGGAATTTTTTGATTGTTACATGCATAGAAAGACGCTGGTTGATCTGGTTTTAGACCTATGTCACAATCAAGGCCATTCCACAAATAAGCTGCCCCAAGTACGGATTACTCTGCTTGTTTGACATTATTTATTCATTATTATTAGTCAATACAAGTTGGTTCAGTTGTTAAGAACGGATTAATTCTTCACAAAACGTCGTGTACGAACGATTTGTAAAAATCTCTGTAACTTGTGATTCTGAAAACTTACTCTAACCTCTAGTAGTAATCGAAGTCGAACCTATCCAAATTTTTTTTCTATAAAAAAAAATCATTTATTATTATACCATGCAAAAAGAACATCGTCAAATTCCCTTTTCTGGCTAAATATGTGTTAGTACTAGTTTTAAGTGTGCAAGTTACTCTAGCAATTTGAGAATAAAAGCTGGAAGATGTCATTTGGCAATCATTCAATCAGGTAAATGATCCTAAGTGCAAAATAACGATTCTTCTTGTTTTGTTTGACCACCCACCCAGCCAAAGCTATTTTCAATTGAGATGAAGCATAAAGCCATAAATACGTTGTAGGCAATTTTAAGCGATTTTGCTGAACTATGATTGTTTGCAGAATTTATTTTTTAATTTGTTCTAGGCTGCTCCTTAGAAATTTATCATAGACTTTGTTTTTTTTTTTGGCTCCTGATTTTTAGAAGGGAATATCAGCGTATATTATGGAAAATAAATTAGAAATTAGGACTCACAGTACTAACAAAATTTTAAATAAAAGGTCGTTGTTTTATGCTACATATAGTTATTATATTGAGAGCAACCAAAGGGATCCGTGGCGCAATGGTAGCGCGTCTGACTCCAGATCAGAAGGTTGCGTGTTCGATTCACGTCGGGTTCAAAATCCCTGATCCTTGGTCCCTCTCTTTTTCCCTTTCGGATAAGCTAATTGATTTATCAATGATTTTGGATTTACCAAATTGAAGAATCTACAAATCACCTCAAGCCTCTAAATCAGAGGGCTTAAACTCTTGGATGACCTTTCTTTTTCTTTTTCTAGACACTTTTTGGATGATCTTATTGGGCAAAAAAATTTTGAAAGAGAGATAAATTTGAGAAGAATAAAATGACCAATTAAACTCGCTTGGAGAAAACGACACCGCTATTCACCAGTCCGGTATTGTATACCAACCCCATAATGTTACGGTGCCTTCCAGCAAACAAGAACGAATACTCATTCCATTCAAGTTCGAAAAGCCAAAAGGCAAAAGAATAAATGAGCCAAGCATTTCTATTTTGAATGTGATATTCGGACAGAATTTGGGTGGGAAGACATAAGTTGCATTGTGAGTAATGTCAGTTTCAGCCTACACTCAGAACAAAAACATGGTACACAAGCAATTGGATCCTCCTTTTTGCACTTTCTACCACCTCAATACCACAGCAAGTGCTTGTCATTTGTAGGTTATGCTGTCAATCATTGACAGTGTTGTCATCCACCTCTGGCTTGACAAAGAACTCGATATAAGCAATGCGACTCGGTTGCTGATAGCCAGCATAATCAACATGGGAATGTGAGACAGGGGGTTTTGCAACCGAAACTAAGTGCTGAACTTTTAGCATTCCACCTCTCCCTATGGTCAACTTGCTTCCTCGATTATCTCTTATTACACTGCCAGGAATGTTTGCAGTTGTCGCACGAAGAAATTTGTATTTATACCTTCCACAAAAGCCAGATTAGAGCAAGTAGCAGAAATATGAACTGATTTCCAATCATAAAACCAGTGGTATTGACTGAAACCTGTAAGAGATTTGACGATCACAGCTGAAAGCAATCAAGAGATCAGTGTTGGCATAGTACATGAAGTCTATCTGCAAGAAAGAAAAGGGGAAATCCTGTAAAGCACGGTACACTCTTGCAGTATACTTGCTCATATGGAAACAAGCAAAACCTGTAAATCGCCATGGCCTTCACCTCTAAAGGTGACACATGGAGGATTTGGCTGAAGAGTTATCTGAATGTTTGATCATGGCCACTCAAGATCATCAATAGCTTCCTTTAAAGCTGCAGACTACAAATTGAAAGCCCAGCATACAGTAAAGAAGTGGTATATAGTATAAAAACAGAAGATTTTTGGATCAATGTTTTATAGGTTGAAGTTGCATCCAAACTCTGCCTGATTTATCAGAAAAACATTACTTTGCCATCATCTTTAAGATTTAGAAGCACATTAAATTTGTAGGATTTATCTGAATGAATGAATGCAGGCAAAATGAGATTCTGTTACCGGGAAAAAGATATAGCTCTTCAAATATATTAAATGACAACCCATATCATGATGAAGATCTAGCAATACAATCAGAGTGCTGGATATTGCTCACGCAAAGATAAATATTTAAAAGGAAAAAGGCAAATTCACTTTAAAAGAAAGAAGTTGGCCTTGCTTGCCCATATTTGCACAATAAAACACTACTTTCTTATTGGTAGCTACTCCATAAGAGTGCTGGTTAAGAGAAGAAAAAAGTACCTTAACAGTGAAATGGAGAGGAGTGCTTCCAGCAGGTTCAAAGTTGTAGTCCCAAGAGATCGTGTCAGGGATCCTTGTTCTGACCTCCGCATAAATGCAAGCATCCAATGAATCAACTGACCTGTCCCCCCAAAAACACGCAAGAAAAAAGAGGCAAAACAAATAAAAGTTTGTTAAAATTTACCAAGTCAAAGGCAAATCAAATTCAGAAGCTTGTTTCGAACCCCATTCTGTCCCTATCAGTCAATTGAAAAGCAGACACTACTGTGACATCAAAAACCAAACTCAGAATCCTGGAAAACTCAATCATTGCGAAAGTGAGCTGATGGACAAAGTTGGGCCTCACATCATCAAAAACATGGTATCAAATATCAAATTTCCAAGCTATGGGATGCCTTAATGCTAAACTGAAGCATTCACTGGCCATAGGAGCCAAGTTTTTCTCATCTTATCAGTTATTTACAAAAGCGCAACAATCAAAATGTCCTTTAAGCTAAGACGGACGTTTTCCTAAACGAATGTGAAATTACTCGTGAAGTTCGAGTCGTATTACTACATAAATTTTCAAAATTATTATTCAACCTCTAATTATTCACAATTATGTAACCTTAGACACATTGACCTAATTTTCAATGAATAATAATCAGATAAAAACAAGGACAGTAGAGGATTACTTGAGAAGAAGTTGCATATCAGGCCCCGGATACCGAATTTCAATACTATTTGAATTTCCTGGAACTGAAAATGTATTCAGACAATCCACAAAAAGCCCTAAACTCACCCCGAATCGCGGTCTCCCTTCTGCACTATATTCGTACTTCACAAAAAGCTACTTAAACAAAAAAAATAATAATAAAGATTTAAAATCAATCCTAAAATGTGATAAAGATAACTTCCAAAAATTGAGTAAAAAAACTGAAAATTGGAGTACCTCTTTTTGTAAATAGACTTTGGCCTGAAGACAACTGGATTCCTCGACGATTAAAACGATGCCGTGTTCTGATAATTCCACAACTGCGTCCTAAATGTATTGTATCATAGGAAACAGAGAGAAATTAGAAAGTTAAAATGAAATGTTTGTATGGTAAGGTCTTAGCCAGGATAATGAGAGATTGAGTGAGAAAGATCAAGAAAAACCTGATGGCGTTTCCATCGGACGGATGTGAGAGCATCGACGATGCCTTGAACGTTATCGAGCTGGCATACTAGATCCAGTGCATCGCCGTCGGCGTCTATCGCCGATGAGCTCATTTTCTGCTGTCAATAGTTCCCGCCAAAAGTTGGAAAAATCACAGAATATTCGGTTAAAGAGATAAACTCTAACGCACAGAGAACATTCATTTATTTATTTAA